GGGGGGGGTCACACAGTCTCTGGCCGCCGTGGGGCTGGAGGGGGGTGCGGAAGCAGGAGCCCCCCCCCCCTCGCTGCCCCCCTACTCCAGGTAGATGTCCTCTGTGGGGCAGGCATATTCCAGGTGCTCCTGGTAATATTCCTGAAACGCTCGGCTGCGGGGACAGTGGGGGGGCTCAGGGCTGGGACCCCAATACCCTGAACCCTCCGCACCCCTAAACCTGGCACAGCCACACCCCAGCGCTCAGACCCCCCCAGTGCCCCCACCCTTGGCACCCAGACCCCTCCAGCACCCACAGCTCCACTGCACCCCCGTCTGTGGCACTGCCAGCCCCCCCAGCACCCCCAGAGCTGGCACAGTCACCTCTCCAGGATCCAGATGCCCTGTACCCACACCCCAGCCCTGACAGTCCCAGTGCCCTGGCACCCAGGCTCCCAGCACCGCCAGCCCCCCCGCCCCCTGCCCCCTCACACCCAAACCCCGGCACCCCCAGCACTGCCAGACCCCCAGCACCCAGCCCTCCTGCACCCAGTCCCCCAGCACCCAGCTCCACTGCACCCTCACCTCTGGCACTGCCATACCCCCAGCACCCAGCTCCCCAGACCCCCAGCACCCCCAGACCCTCAGCACCTCCAGACCCCTGGTACCCAGACCCCCAGCACCCAGCCCCAATGCACCCTCACCTCTGGCACTGCCAGTCCCCCAGCACTCAGTCCCCTGGCACCCAGACCCCCTGCACCCAGCTCCTCAGACCCCCAGTGCCCCCAGCTCCAGCACCCCCAGACCCTCAGCACCTCCAGACCCTCAGCACCCCCAGCTCCAGCACCCCCAGACCCCTGGTACCCAGACCCCCAGCACCCAGCTCCCCAGCCCACCCACCCACCCTGCACCCAATCCCACGGCCCCCCGCCCCCCGTGCCCCCCGTCCCCGTCCCCTCCGTACCCGACACACTCGGCCACGTGTCTCATGGACTCCTGGGACACGAACACGTGGCAGGCGAAGCGGCTCAGCACCGGGTGCTTGGTGATGAACCCGAAGTAGCTGTGGGGGGCACAGGGTGAGGGGGGCACAGGGTGAGGGGGGCACAGGGTGAGGGGGGCACCCCAACCCTGCCCTGGGCGGGGGCCCCGGGGCAGCCACAGCGGGACCAGGAGTGGGCAGGGGGTCCTGGTGTGGCCCATGGGTGCCCCTGGCAGGGGATGGGGGTGGTGCCCACGGGGGGCTGGGGGGGGCTCACCAGCTGTTCCGGGGGTGGCACCCGCAGAAGGAGATGTTTTTCATCTGGAAGAAGTGGCTGCAGCGCTCGAACTGGGAGGGAAGAGCAGAGGTGTGGGTGGTCGGCTGAGTGCTCAGAGACTCCCCAAAATTCTACGCCACTCGACTCCTGGTCATCCCCCAAACCCACCCCCTGTGCCCCTCACCTCCTCATCACCTCCCTGAATCCCCTCCCCTCACCTCCTGGTCACACCCCGAGCCCTCTCCCCTCACATCCTCATCACCCCCTAAGCCCCCTCTCCTCACCCCATCACCCCCCTAAACCTCCTCCCCTCACCTCCCCATCCTTCTAAGTGCCCCCCTGCCTTCACCTCCTCATCCCCCCAAACCCACACACCCGCTCCCATCACCTCCTGGTCACTCCCCAAACCCACACCCCTGCTCCCATCACCTCCTGGTCACCCCCCAAACCTCCTCCCATCACCTCATCACCCCAAAACCCCATCCCCTCCTCATCCCCCCAAACCCACACCCCTGCTCCCCTCACCTCCTGGTCACCCCCCAAACCCCCTCCCATCACCTCATCACCCTCCCCTCCTCATCCCCCCAAACCCACACCCCTCCTCCCATCACCTCCTGGTCACCCCCCAAACCGCCTCCCCTCCCCATCTCCCCAAACCCCATCCCCAT